ATTTTAATGCTGAAAGCTTGTTAAAGATATCAAGCTGAGTCACAAGAATTGTGGATCTTTTCCGTAAATCTCTCATAATCGCTCTAAAATGGCGGGAGTTTCAATCATTCTAAAATTTCATCGAGTAATTCTCGAGGATGGGAAGCTTTGATGATCGCTATGGCTGCTTTAGACAGTACATCTGAACTTAATAACCTCTTGGACACCTGGAGAAGAGAGGATCAAGATAATCTATCGCCTGTTGATACACTCCAAAGGTTGGTGGTGTTTTGATTCATTAGCATAGACTAGCTGGTTTTAATACACTCTAGCTGGTGACAAAGTACGGCGAAAGAAAACATACATGCATGTGTCAGGAAAGATCAGATTTTCCCCTGATGTTTTTTTGTTTATATATTATTGTCTTCCTTATTTACAGTCGTCGTATTGAGTTATCCATACAAGTTACGAGATAAATTTAAGTCAAAATACCAAGCAAAAAGAACTTACTTGAGAAAATTCTAACATTTCACATAACTGTTAACATCTAAAGTGGAACCCAGTCATTAATAATAAACCTAATGCTTTTTTGACGTCCTCGCTGCCATCACTGTCGTCGTTGCTAAAGCTCCCTAATACGCAAAACAACAAGTTTGCACGTGCATCACGCTTTTTTGTACATTTCTTTACGACGACGACGTGAAAATGCCTAATTGCAAGTTTTATGGAGGACGTAAACAAGCGATGACGAATCTCTTTTTCTCTCTCTAAACTTGAGTGCGATCCTCTAGAAATCAACTCCAGGGAAATTTGCCTACACTTGCCATTTTCAACAAACTGGAATAAACGCGACAAAGTTGGAATAAACGGGAATTTATTTTAAAACTGACGTTTTCGCTGCCGTTGCCGTCGTTGATGCTAAAGCTCCCTATTGTTTACGTCTGACATTAGGCTTCATAAAACTGGTCCTGTGAAAGTGACAACTGTTACATATAATAATTGGACCCAGAGGTTTGGGAGATGTAGCTGGGGGTTGCAGGGAGAATTCTCACAATTAATTGAAATGTATGAACTATTGGGAACCAATCACTCCCGCTGTGTTCCAGTCTTGCTGAATTCTGGGATAGTGGGAATGGGTTCAAATGAACTGGTGCATTAATACTTGCTTAAGAAAAGAGCCAACATTTTGTGACACCACCACTGCTTTTGGCGAAATGATGCATGAGGAAAGAGTGCATACATTCCATACTGCTGACTCATCACTACCCAGATCTGGTTAGTGCTTCTGATTGGTTGAAAATTGGCTTCAACCAATCAGGAGCACTTGGGTAGTGATACGATAGCAGTATGGAATTTCTGCGCTGTTCCTCAGACTTCAATTCTTATGGAAACCAGTGGCGGCTTCACGAAAATGTCAATTGGCTTTTTTTCTCAGGCTATGTTGATACTAGATAAGAATTTACAAAATGTGGTTTCGTTAACACTGTTTAGGATTGCAGAGTTGGTGGAACGTGAGAATGAGGCTTATCATAAGCTAGACCCAGACCCTTTTGATGACAGGCATCCAGGTAATATATATGTTGCAGTTAATTTTTGTTTTTCCTTTGTTTTAAATTCATTAGCATACAGTACCATACCCAAAACAGGGGAAAAATAAAAATTAACTACAACATATACCTATTCAATGTAATGATGGCATGTTTTCCATTGTGGTTTGTGTATATGTGACAGCTTGACAACCAGCTGGGCCATACATGTATTAACAATATTAATCCAGCTGACAGCCAATGAATATCATCGCCTGCTGAAGCCCTTTGGAAAGCAATCAAAATACCAATCCTGGCAGCAAATTGACTATACCTGTAGGACGCAGCAGTTAAAGGCCCTGCGTTCAAGTACAGCTCTGACCACTAGCTGGATTTGTTTGTGGTAGTCTTGAGGTCAAATCCTTGGCCGTACATGTAAAACAGCCGAGTGCAGGTTCACCTCCTAACAGTTGGCATTTTTAATCATGCTGAGTTCCATTTAAATTATTTGTTGGTCTTCCTTGGGAAGCCCCATAAGGGAAGAGGATAATTAAAGTATTTTTTTACTATTACTTGATACAAAACTTATTGTCTGTTCTGGTTCAATAGTTTATTACTTGTCATATTCTTTGTTATTTTTCTGTTGTTTTAAGTCATAATATTCTTTGTCGTGATACAAAAAACAGTTAAACCGAACAATTGACCGTTTATATGAATTCACTTCAAAACTTTATGACACTCCAATAGATACAAGTGCTGATTGTCTTCAAAATCTGTTTGTTTTAGCTGTGTTTTCATTATTCTACCAGTCTGTTGTCCTTTCTCTCTCAGGTAGGGCAGATCCTGACTGTGCATTAGGTCATCTCCTCAAGACCTTGTTCAGGAATGATGATTTCATGGATAAGCTTGTGAATTCTTACATTATGAGTGCTATGGAGGAGTTTGATCTTAACTGTATAGCCTCTAGAGTATTGCTGAATGCCATGCCAGGGTTGGAGAGTGCTGCTGTGTTCCAAGACATGGTTAGAATGTAGTTGGGTTACCATTTACAGTTGAATCCATACTAATGCCCCCCTCTCTATTACTGCCACTTCTTTGGACAGTCCATACATTCAGTATTGTTTTTTTCTCTCTGTGATGTGAGGGTAACCCCCCTTTACGGCTATGGCCACTTAATTGTATCCCGGCTGCTAACATAAATGCCTCACAAAGCAAGAAAAGTACCATTCTCACACACAACTGGGAGCTTTGCCAAGCCAACCTTCCATACTCAGACTATGAATATGTGGCTGCAACCTTTATAGAGCACCTTTTTACACACATCAAATTAAAAGCAAAATGGCCAAAACCAGAAAGAATATTACAGTACGACCAAGAAAACTGTGAACACTTGAAATATTTCAGGAATGTTTATTGTGTTATGACCAATCACAGCAAAGATCAGGACACGCGAACTACCCACAAAACCACAAACTAATGTTCTTGCTTGCAGTTTAGTTTTCTTATACCTGATTGGCACAATAACATTCCAGAAATATTTCTGGTATTCATGGTTTTCCCAGTTTGACTGTAAAAATGCA